TCTATTCTATCTATCTACGTAGTGCCTAGGTAATGCATTATCTGTGGTATAATGATTTCGCTAGGACTAGCTCGCCACCGTCGTCTCGGGATCTGGATCTTCTCCTGCGTTGCAGTTGTAGCGCAGCTGCTCGACAGCCCGGTATCGGGAGTAAGCAATTAATTATCTGTCTAAATCCTCGTTTTAGCTGCGGCAATAACGACACCGTGGCTGGTAATTGCGACTTAACGTTACATGACCGTCCTCGTAGCAATTATCGTAATCTTAATCGTAATAAATGGATCGTAGTCGTAGTAAGTAGTTGGGATCGACGATCAAGGAGACGTGTTCGACGAAAAAATTCTGAGAAATCGGGTTGGTCGGACCCGATTCTAGATTTTTTATTCTTAACGATCTGGAGCACGCGGGCGTTGGAAGAAACGTCTCTCGCGCGACACTCGCGTTCGCGATCGATTTACGCGATAGACACACTCCGAGATCATCCGCGTCGGATCACAGAACGCGTTCGAACTTTCTCAACGCGTAAAACTTTCTGGTTTCGCCAACTCGGGCACACTCGGATCACGTGCACGGATCGGTCCTTCCCCTCTCGCGATCGAGCGTTCAAGCGTTCGAGCGACTTCAACGATCGTGTTTCGTCAGTTCCAAGGGTTGCTGTTCCGTCCAGTGATCCCGCCACGCAACGGTCGGCGAGGAAGGAACGTCCTGGTCCGAGTCTTGCACGTCGATCTCCTCGTCCTCTTCCTCGTCCTCGACCCGCTCGAATTCCTTCTTGTTGGTCGTCTCGGACGAGCCAACGACGGATCTAACGTTGCCCTCGTGCCTCTGGTGCTCGTACGTCGGGCTCGAGGATTTGAGCATTGAAGTCGGCGAATCTTCCCCGACGAGTTGGCTGATCATCCTGAAGGCGCTCGGCTTTCTTTCCGGCTGTTTGCCGATCGGCTCGAGCCTGTCGATCCTCTCGTTCCGTTCCGCGACGTCTCTCGACGACGAATTGGTCACGACCGCCCGAAACGCGCTACTCTCTCCTCCCATTCCGGCGATTGAGCAGCTTGACGCACGACTTACTTCCATACCGGATGCGGAATGCGGTTGCGGCGGTGGCTGCTGCTGCTGCTGCGGCAGCGACGCTGGTGGCGGAGGCGGTGGAGGAGGCGGCGGCGGCGGCGGCGGTGGCGGTGGCGAACGCTTTAACAGGTTCATTCGTTGATGACGACGCCACTTTGCCCGTCTGTTGGAAAACCAAACCTAAGAGTCACGAGTTAGGTCGTTAGATGGCTCGTGATCAAATGTCTAAGCTTCGGAAGAAAGTCGGGGAGGGGTTTCCAGCCGCGCGCCAACGCGGTCGCAGGGCCTACTCTCTTTCATCGTAGAAAGAAGAAGAAGTAAAAAAACGACGAAGAAGAAGTGAAAAGAAAAAGAGGGAGAAGATGAGAGGGAGAAAGAGGGAGGAAAAGTGAAAGATCAAGTGAAAGAACAAGCCGCTGCGATGCGAGCGCGCTAGCAAACCTAATCCCCCCGACGAAGAAGATATCTTGGATGGAACTGATACCTCACCTGTACACGCGCTTCCGAGAGAGAGGTCTTGGAGGCTAGCCGTTCACGCGTAGACACGCAAGGATAGTGAGATCGCTCGAATTCTTTCTCGAGCTCCTCGAGCTGTTCCGGGCTGAAGGTGGTGCGATTTCGTCGGAATTTCGGCTGCTCCGATCCGTCCAGGCTCCCCTCGTCCCCGTCACCGTCTGTACAGAAAAGAACGACCATCTTCCTCTACTAGCGTCTCCTTATCTCGCCAGTCGCGGTCTCTCAACTTTTCTCGCGCTCCTTTCCTATCCTCGCCTTTTTCATTTCTTTCGTTTCGTTTGTTCGAATTTCCCCGCCAACGTTCTTCCCGCGCCAATTAGAGAAAACACACACACACGCACACACACACACA